AATAAGGAAATAAGACTTTTCTTCAAAGACTATACCAACACAAACACTATCATTGACTTTCCAGATTTAAAGAGGCATGCTAAGTATTCTGATTTATTGATCAATTAGCTCTGCACTTTCCAACTTATCAACTATGAACCCTTGAATCAAACAACCTTCAAAGAATCATATCGCCACAAACGAAAATATCAACTCCTTTTGGAGCTATTCCCCTCAATCGAAAGTCTCAAAATTTCAAGACCTGATTTATATGACAATAGCTAGACCTGCTATAAATGTCTTACCGAAAAAGAAACATTCGATCACATATGGCTTTGTTCAAGGAATCACCGTTTACTCAATCAAATAATACTTGGTGCTTTTGTTAAACTCAAAGAACAACTTTTTATCCACACATCTAAAACTGAATGGTCTAACAAATTAATGGCTCTAATGAATCCAACTTTTAGTTACTAGATTCCGACTATTAATTCTCCTAAAAGGTTTAACATTGTAGACATTATCAAAGGAATCGTTCCCAATCATTTAGTCTTCTGCATCAACAACTTCACAAACTGTAACAAAAAAACCATGACTATCCTATCAGTTTTTTTCGAACACATACAAACTCAAGCAATTACATTAATTTGGATTCATAGATGTGACTTGACTATTACCATGGAACTGCAACTTGGAATAACAAAAAAGAAAAAACTTTACACCAAAGCTTCTAAAAACAGTAACCCCATATCTTTATCTCTTCTCCCCCATTCATCTAATACATCCTTCGTAATTTCTAAATTTACTAACTTATTTTACAATTCTTACATTCATAGTCGATCTTGATCTCTTTTTAAAGTAGTGAAAACTAGTTGTCCATTTCTCTTTTTGTTAGTCATGTAGTGACTTTCTTCTCATAGTAGATGTTTAGAAATATGACAGGACAACCGGTTGGTTTGGTCAAAGTTGGATAACCCTTCGAAGAGGGCTAAGTAGCATTTACTTTATTTTTCTACTTTTGTACCTGTCTTGGGAATTTTCTTTTATATTATTGAATTTTGAATTATAAATAAATAAATGCTTCACCGCGTTTTTAAAAAAAAAAAAAAGTAGTAAAATTGATTTGTATAATAGAAACCATTGACGTCATAGTTTATTTAATTCATTTAATTTATTTCATTATATTTATTTTATCTATTTTATTCATTATCTTATTTTTCTTTATTTTCTTTATTTAAATTATTATAACGTTATATAGGATTGTTTTTATATAAATAGGAGTAACTTAGGATTAAGTATCGATAAATCGTTCTTAGTTTTGTCTTATATTAGTTTTAGTAGTTTAAAGTCTTTAATAAATAAACTGTTTAGTACAGATACGCCGACAGAGGCAGCACTATAATTTTGTTTGTTAATCATATATTCTACGCGAATTATTATATTTTCTTTATACTTATAAAATTATAATTAAGTTCTCTATCTTCTTTACGAAGGAAACCTTCTGCATACGTAATTATAACGCTTATTTAAGTCGAGCATTTTAAAAAACTGGTGTAACAATAATAAACTTTATTTCTACTAATAACTTCTAAATGTGACTACCAGAATAGAATCAGAATATAAAATTACATAAAATAGTATATATTATGAAAAAAATTTATCATTATATCCTAATCTTCAAAATCTAATCATACACTAATCTCAATTAATAATCTTAAATACTCAATTCACTGAAATGTTAAATAGGTTATTGCAGTTTTTAGGTAATAATTTTTCAACAAATTTTTCTCAAATTATATAAAATCAGATGAAAACTTAAAACTTCTACCTTACATGTTTTCAGAAACTGCTATGCTAAACTTCTCCATGATCAATATTATACATTATATATTATAAATATACATATGTATAAATATCATACACTAATAATAGTAACAAGTGGTTATATTATTTTATCACAGATTCTGCAGAAACTGAAAAATCCTATATGATTAATATAATCACAAATCTTTTCAAATGTAAGTACAAGCCTTATCTCCTGATAATATCTATAGAAGTAACAGCATAAAATATAGAAGAAATTACAATTTATTTTAAATTACACCTTATGTTTATACAGTGTGGTTTTTACATTCATGCTCATGTAGATATAGAATTAAGAACTGATTAAAAAAAATCAATACTATTATTATTGATGAAATATCTATAGTCTCTGCTAAATTATTAGATTTTATTTTATATCTATTTACAAGTTTTCATAATAATGCTTTAATTTTTAGTAGTATAAATGTTATAGTGGTTGGTGATTTCACTCAACTATCACTAATTACTTGTCAACTTGTATTTCATATGGCTGTCTGAAAATTATTCTATCTATTATTTTAAGAGCATCTCAATATTAAAATAATGACATAAAATTTTATCAATAGTTAGAAAAAGTACAAATAAAAAATATCTCTATAGAATCATGAAATAAAATACAATATCATCAGAATTCTTAATAAACTTTTTAATTAATAATTTATTAAATTATTACGCATATTGTAGGTTTTAAAGAAAATACACAAAATATTAACCGTATAATATACAATTATCTTTCTGTTCTTTATAATAAATTCTTGATCTCACATGTTATAGATATCATAAACTCAATACTATGTAACCCATCTTATTCAAATCATATATTTAAATCTAAAACAAATCTCATCAGTTGCATGCATTATGTATCTCAACAACTCTTTTATTGATCAAGGCATATATATGTAATAGTACTATTGGAGTAATAAACTAATATGAATCCTATAAATTGATATATTTGCATCACTTTCTCTGTCTGTGTCTCAATAATTAATGTGAAAATTTATGAAAATATTTATTATTGTTAAATCAATAGAACTAATTGTTATTACTATCAATTTTCCTTATAAAATTCCTTTGTATTTACTATATACAAAACCTAAGACTTGACTTTGACAAAGGTTTACCTTGCTATATTTTTTCATTTGATCAAGCCTATATTGCTTTTAACTGATATTCTAATTGAAGGAATATTGAGATCTTTCATCTTGATGCATTAGCATTTATAACTGATCAAAATATAATTTCTGAATATCAAAAGTTATTTAATATAACTATGACAAATCTTTTTCTATTTGCATGCTCTTTTAATTATTTATTATTATTAATATTATTAATTATTTTATTTATTTATTATTTATCTATAAATCATTTATGTCACTTATCAAATGTAATAAAAATCTTTATTATTTTTTATTTAATAATTATTCAAAAATAAATGATCTCAACTGATTTATTTATAATATATAATATTCTAAAAATCTTCAATTATACTCAAATATATTTTTTTTAATAAAAATTATAGATTAATACATCAATTAATTCTTATTTTTCATTTTAGAATTGGTTAACCTTTTATAAAAATATTCTGATTGATCTTTAAAAATCATCTATTCTATTTTTGTGATAATTATTTAACTTTCTTTCATAAAATTCATGGTCATAATATTAATCTATCATATCATGCTTTCTATTACTGTATATTATATATTATATCAAATCATCAACTGATATAATATATCATTTGATTTAATAAATAGTTGTGTAATTACTACTTTTACCTTGTATTCTGTAGATTTTGAAAAAAATACTGACTAATAATAATGCTATTTGAAGACTATTTTAACGCATAACTTAAAAATTGAAAAATTATTTTGAAATCTTTAAAATGACTTTTTTTTAAATCTGAAACTTGATGAAACTTAATTGAGTTTAGGAAAACCTATTAGAAGTTTAGGTATTATAAATAAATAGTTTTATCTCAACTATCTCGACACTCAAATTTTCTAAAAATAGTTTAGGAAGGTATCTTTACTGACTAGTTTAATTTATAAATTTTTTATAGCTATTACTATAATATTTAAAATTAATACTTTTTTTATAACTAGTTTATCTTTAATTATTTCTTGATATAATATTTAAATAAAAAAGTTTTACCTAATAAAATTTAAATATAAATTTATTAAAAAAAATATATATAGATTAAAATATTATATTATATTTAACTTAAAAATAAAATTGTTAAAATTCTAATATTTACAGTTATATGAAGAAATAAATATGCTGGGAGGTTTGCTAATTCTGAGCATATTTTATTAAAATTTTAATATATATTGTATTTTAATCTAACATTACCAAAAATTAAAAATTAAAATTTTAATAAAAATTTCTCAGAGTCCCATTTTCCTAGAATAACCTTCCATATGTTAAATTAAATTGATAAACTTAATTATTTTATATTTTAATAAATTACAATTTTATATTATATAAATTTATATATATATATATTTTTTTAAAGTGCAGTAGCTTCGCATAATCTTTATTAAATGTAAGTAAAAAAATATATAATACAAAACAAGAAAGAAAATACAAAAACTTCTAAGTATCCTAAACTAGTTAAAACGCTCTAGACTAATATATATAAATTTATATATTAATTATTATAATAATTGATAGGAATATTAATCTTAAGTAGTTTGGTGGCATTTTCTTTATTATAAAAAATTTATCATAACAGTATAATATAAAGTACATATAAAAAAAATTTATATATAAAAAATAAAAATCGGGTGACCGTGTCAAATTTAAAATTTTATGTCACACGAGAATCTAAAAATTTATTTTAGAATATAAGTTTTTAAAAAACCGACATTTCTATAATAACAATCTTCTTTTATAATTTCATATTGTATCGACAATTTGCCATTTCACACTAGAGTTTCTATGGACAGTGCTCATAATAGTTTTGTTCTACCAAAGACTCCAAGTTCCTCGGGTACAGATACGCGTCAGGTTCCTGTTCTTGAACCTAAACAGCGTTTTGTTATCAAAAAAAATGGTTTAGAACAACTTTAAGTCGTATCTGGTAAAATTGAAATAGGCCCCTTTCATTAGGTATAATATATTTTTTGCTTTGTTGGAGATTTGGATATCGTGCAAATAAAATGAGGCAAGGAGAACTTATTCATTCTTCACAAGGTTGTGAAGACTTGATTTTTGTAATGTGGATGTGCATTTTGAAGAAATCCTTGATACGGTAAATGATTAAAGTCCCAAAATACAAAAAAATTAAATCACATAATGTTCAATAATATTATAGCATGATCCAGATGATTATTGGGTTGTACCTCAATCTCAATTGGTTATCTCGCGTCAAGCTTTTCGCAATAATGCTAGCAAGTATTTCATTAATGGAC